GTCGCACTAACAAACACCATGTGGGAAACACAAACAAACTGAACGTTGAGGAAATGGAATCTTTTACGATTCACATAAACGTGTTCATTATCTGTTGGAGCCGCGATCGGGACGCGTGCCCCTATCGCATTTGGAAAGTTGAATGCCTGAAGGATGTGGCACTTGAGACCGACGACATCCTCTCTTAATACAGGGAACACCACCAACTTTTTTTAAAAATGCATTCAGTGATGGTCACACGCACAGAATGAATGCACCGAAGTATGGTGGGAATGGAATGGTCTTGGTCATCACCAAGCATGGAGTATGGCTTACGAGATGGAACCTGCGACCAAAGATGGAAGAGCCGCTCATGATACATGTTGGATCGGTAGCGCTCCGCAACGGGCTGTACCCCTTTTTCTTTTCACCTGCACTAGGGCAGGAAAAAAAAAAAATGAAACAATGGAGATCCCTCAAAAGGTATGAGCTGCTTCGAAGGGGTGGAATGAATGCTCAGGGGTCATCCAGTCCAATAATCACCAATAACTCCTCCATCCCCTCCACCCTCTATCCCCTCCTCCCCTTTTCCCTCCTCCCCTCTTCCCCCCTCCCCCATTCCCTCCTGCCATCCTAAACCTTCGATGGATGTTCGATTATGTTCCGTGTTTTCTTTATCGATGAGGCATATGCATACTTTGAGGAGGGACGACAAAAATGATGAGATGCACGATCGATGTGTGTTTATATGTCGGTGGGGAATCCCCTCGCCTTCGGTTCGCTTCCCAGAAGACGAAACGCGTGTTTTCCATCGTAAGATGTCCTCGTGGAAAAATGCACATGCCTGCAGGACGCAAATCGTGCGGCGCTTGTCATGGAATCGGTAGACGATCTCTGTCTTGTTTTTCTCATTTACGCGTTTTCTCCCTCGTGATGATTCTTTCGAGAAGTAATATTTAACAAATTAGGAGAATGAAGTGAGATTTTCCTGCGCTCGATCCATCGGTAAGAGGATGGAATAAGAAAGGAGACGAAGAACCGCTCGCCAACGAAGAGTAACTCGGTTAGAATTCCGTGCCACTGAGCCTTCAACACGCTCAAATACACAGCTCCAAAAAGGCAAGCGGTCGGAAAGAAGTGGTAGGCTCTACGCTAGGGACTCATCCGCATATTATTTAATGTCTCCTCGAGACTCGAGAAAGTCTTCTTTCTTTATGTTCCGAACTGAATCAGAGAAGAGCTTTAAAAAAAAATACAGACTCTACTGATGCGTCTGGTTCAAGCAACAACATTTTCTGCTTGAATAACTTGCACATCTGTATACCTACAACTATGCCAAACTTTATCACGAACTCTTCATAATTTTTTTGGACCGTCCATCTGCATATCCAAAAGAGTGTAACCAAACTTCGAGGGAAGAGAAATCCTCTGAAATTGTGAGAAAGACATGGTTTCCTTTTTTCTCCGTAACTTCATCTGCACTGGAACTTCTATTCCAGTACAGATCGGAACAGAACGAACAGCGTTCGGAACAGAAAGAAATTAAACATGAGGGAACGGGGCCAAAACCAGAATGCATAGTTAGCAGGAGGAACAGAACGGGAACATGAAACGCCAAAAAAAGTTCATTCAGAAGCTCCAGATATAGGGGAGACTGGGATACAGTGGGATAAATTTTCAAAATTCTAAAAAAAAATGTATTTACCCCGAACACTCAAAGTCGTCCTTCTATTAGAGGACATTCCTGGCTGCAAAAAATGTCAAGTCTCTCTTCATTCAAAGTTACAGTTTTCTGCTGAATGGTGAAATTTCGAAGGCAGTGAGAGTGTTACACTGTACCCCCACTGTACCCCTACCCCTGGGCACAGTGAGACAGGCAAAGGGGTACTGTGGGATATTCTCTGCATTAAAGAAATAAATGTCAGAAAATGTTTTCCAAATTTTTTCTTAAATAATAGCTTCCAGTCATAATTGAAATTTTCTCTTGATATTGAAGGAAGCTGCTCCAATTCCAGTTTTTCTGGGGTGTCTCTTGCTATTCTTCATCTGCCTAGATGTCTCATTTTTCTCTTTCTGTTTCAGTTTACTTTGCAAAACCTGTAAAAGGGAATTCATCAATAAATGTAAGAGCATGTGGTGCACTGGGAAAGTCGGAGTTATGTAGCACTCTACCCAATGATCCCATGATCCCATGACCAACTCTCGCACTGTATCCCAAACAACCAATTTTGAAGTCCATATTTCAGAGCCAAGAATTTCACGAAAGATCTGCCAAAAAAAGCAATGAATAATATTGCATAGGAGCCAAGCACCGCCTATGAAATGAATGATACGAATTAAGCAACGCATTTTTGGTCTGGATCAATCATTCTATCGTGCAAAATCTTTGGTGAAGAGACAGTAAATTGGAATATCATTGATTGAACCTTGCCGCACGATCGCCACCAAATCTGGCACAGATGTTAGGTGTGTTTTCACTGCTCTTGCAGTAGAATTACATGCTTCTCCACCTAGTTTGAAGCAAGAAGTCGAGCGTTCCACTGTTCCTGGTGTCCCTCTGTACCCGGTGTCCCACGGTACCCCAGTCTCCCCTAAGCTGGACTTTTAAGAGCCTCGGCACGACTTTCTTCCTTTCCTTCTCTAGGAATCAAGAATATCCGCCTGTCGACGCTCTGGGATTTAGGTTGTCATCGTCGACGAGGAACTAAAATTCGCCGAGCACACTCGGGCGACCCAGATCGATTCTTTCACTGCCGTAATACTGTAGCAGCGATGTGTCGAGTGCGAAAATGCGTCACCTGCGAAAATCGCATTCGTGAACTCCGCAATTTTTTTTTAAACTGCCGTGATCGCACTCGCGAACGCAGCAAAACGTTCCGTTACCGACGTGCTCCCCGACCTCTCGAGAGTCGACCGAACGATAGAGATTAGCGATTATCGTTTATCGCTCGAATGCAAGAAGCATTTGTTTCGAGTGGTGGTTCCGAAAATCTCGCGGATGTATTTGTCAAGATCCGAGATTGCAGCAGCGAGACTCCTGCGATTGAACGAGAAAACTCATTTCGTCTACGCGGCTTCGGGTTCCATACGGCAAGGTAAGAAGCGGATACTCCTTTTATCGTATTCGGGGTAGTTGGGAAATCATCCCAAAAATTTGAAAAACTGCAAATCAACTTTGCAGTCTAGATGAAACGAAGTTTCACATATTCTGCGGCATCTTCCTGGAAGATTTGGAAATCGACCCGGCATTCCATCGCCAGCGACTGCTCGCGCGGGGTTATTGCACGATATTGCACGCGGATATTGCACGCGGCATCGGTGAGGCTCGTAGAGAGGGTGAAGCTTCATTTAGTGGCCTGCAAGCGAAATAGGAAAAATATTGGTAAAATAGGGGCTACAGAGGACGTGGAGGCGGCCCGATAAAATCACCAAGAAAGTACGAAGACTTTGATCGGAGAGGAGTTTCCAGGCGATGGGAATCCGCGAGAAAGTGGAAAGGCTAACGAGGATCATTAGGGGAATCGATCGCAAGAGTTTTTCCAACTTCACCGTAAAAGCAGAAGGAAGAGAGGGAGAGAGACCGGTTATCGTCGCGTGAACTTGCAGCGATATCCGGGTTGAGGTTCCGCTCTTTCTCTCTCGGGGTATTGGAAACCCGGACGACACACCATGGGAACACTAGATCCCTGCCCCGCATTGACAGGTTAGATGCCTTCGCGGACGAAACAGGAAGAAGAAGCGGGATGGCTAAGTAACGGGAAGCGATCGGGACGCGACCAATACCACTTTTTTTTTTAACTGTTAGGCTTGAAATCTTGAAATGAAATAATGTGGAAACAAATTTTCAATGGTCTTCCCTTTCTTCAACCCGTCATCGTTCTTCGTCACCTACGAGTCGATATATTTCTCACGGTTGGTTTGTTTCCTCAGAAAACCCCCCAGGAGGGGCTAACCAGGGGGGGAAGAAAAAAAAACGAAATGAAATTCACATCCACCAAAAGCGAGATTCGGTGTTCTCCACGACCCCGGAGAGATGGAGCTTCAAAATTGCTGGAGCTATTCTGTGTCGAGAGAGGAAAAAACATGTCTAATTTCGTTTCTGTTGATGCTCTGAGAGGAATACGAGGAGGTGGAATTTTGCTACGGGAGGGGGTTGAAGAAAGGTAAAAGGTGCTACTGCGTCTATTCATGGTTGCGTATCTAAATCCCGAACTTCCATTGACAGAAAGAGGCAACATCGAATGCTCGAAATGCCGACGAATCGAATGAACGACGCTCTAAATATCGCATAAATTAGGCGATCACACACGAGGTATTTCGTCGAAGAAAAATCTTTTCGATGAAAGCTCATTTTCGCGAAAGGGTCCACATTTGGAAAAGAAAAAAAAGTGTTAACGACGTGATTCTCTCCTTGCTTTAGGCTACTTAGAAAAATGTCATCTATGGATAGCTCGTTTGATAGCACAATCCAGGAGGAAAACGATTTCGTCAAGGATGTCTTCCATTCATTTCAGATGGAAAATCAGATGAAAACCCGGGAGAGAGAGAACCCAAATACAGCAGTACTCAAAGACAAGTGAAAAATTAGAAGAATTCTCTTGTTCCCGTCAATCTCTGAGTCTCGCTTCAAGCGTGTTTTCATGCGGGACTCACGGCTATTTTCCTGAGTCGTTACTCGTACGGAGCTTCGGCGAATCGTGATCCGTGTCGCAAAGAGAATTCGCTCGCGATCGTGAGATGCTTTTTTTTTCGGCAGAGTTTCTTTGCCGGTTTCTAACACCCCGAGACACATGCCAAGATTTGAATAGGACTTTCCATTCCACCTCTTTGAAGTTCGAACCCTTGGGATCGTCCGAAACTTCACTTTCTCATGCAAGCTTTTCCCTGGAGCCATGGAAAAACCGATTTTTAAAAATATCCCAATCATTCGCCGCCTGAGAGCAGATTTCCCCTGTTCGGCCATTGCACGGCCGAGCATGCTATGCAAATGAAGTGCTCTGTGTTCTCACTAGTTCCACACCAAGCGTGAGGTTTTTTTTTCGGGTGCTCCTCGGATTTTTGATCAATCGCTGAAAGTTTGGACACGATTTTCTTCTACAAGAACTTGCGAACAAGCTACTACCACGTAAATCAAGAGTGTCATCCGGCTACTACGCAGTTTCTTACTTTGTACTATTTTAAAATACAATAACTGAAGGAAATATCATTTTGAAAGGAGAGAGGAAGGTAAGCTGTCACGCGTGACACGACTCACGAGGTATCGTATCGCGTGATTTTGCGTGAGTTCAAATCACGGTCGCAATGATCGTGCGTATCCGTGAATCTCAAATGATATTGAATCAAGGGATTGCGTGAAAATGAGTGACAACATGGTTTTCTCTCGTGATCGTGAGTCGAAAATCACTCACGTGCACACCTCTAGTTCATACTAAGACTCTCCATTCATCGTGGTCTCTGGATACTTTTAGCCGGGCAGATTGTTAGCATCTCTTCGGCGATACCGAGGAGGCCCAAGAAAGAGGCCGTTCGCGGAAACCGGGAAAAATTCTTTAGAATGAAAACAGGACCAAGTGAAAGTTCCTTGCACAACCCGCTTCGGAGATGGATAGACGAGGAAAGAGAGGTGACCGAGGGGCTGGAAATCAGGCCGTTCACCTCTCAATTTCGGCCTCATTTCCAGCAAACTCCTCACGCCCACGTCTTCCCTATAGGATATGCGCTTTTCCTCGTCCGAATCCAATCGATAATCCAAAATAGAAGCATGTTTAATAAAAATATGTAAAATAGAAGTATGCGGCTTTCCGATTTGACGTCACTAGCATGTAAGTGCCCCCACCCAGAGGATGCTCCGTGGCGGTATGACGCGTGGATCGGAGCTCATGGAGTTTCAACGTGGAATCATAGTTGTTTGTCTATCGCAGGTACCCTGCGCCTGCGATATCACTCTGATGTGACTCATGACCCTGTACTCCGATCAACGCGCCATGCTGGCAAACGCTGACAGATGGCGGATCACCTTTATATACCTTTGGACTACAGTAATGCACATGACCTCTGGGACAATCTGTTATCGGCGGAGGGAGGCTTGTCCCAATAATTTTGGTAATACAGTCGAACTCGGTTATAACGTCATCGAAGGGACCAGGTAAAAACCGTCGTTATAACAGAGGTTGCCTTTATTGGCACTCCGTTTTCCTGTTTTCAAAATTGATGCTATATAACGTTACAACTCCAGTTTACATCGGTCATACTACAATAGCTTCAATTTCAAGATTGACCCACTAATCGTGATGTTCGCACTTCTTTGGACCTTGAACTACTTTACATTTTAGCAAGGCTTCGTCGATGTCATCTCGACAGACCGAGGAAGTTTCTTGTTTTGTGACATGTTCTCGAAAGCACGGATGAAGCTGTCACGATTTTCCCAAATTGTGGACACAGATGAACAGATGTCCATGTTCGCGAGCGACGTTAGCTTCACTTCGAGCTCTTTCTATTAAACTAATCAAGCACACTTTCCTTTCAATCAGTTCGCGAGCGACGTTAGCTTCACCTCGAGCTCTTTCTATTAAACTAATGAAGCACACTTTCCTTTCAATCGTGAAGGCTTGCCTCTTTCGTTTTCCACTGGCCATGTTGTCATCGAGAAATGCAAATGGCGACTGAAGATAAGGTGATCTTAGTTACTGGGGATTATCCCTCCCTAACATTGCTCCAGCCACACCCACACGACTCTCAAGGAATGCCGAATCCAGGAAATATGAAGTTATGGCTCGCCAACGCTAATTTTTCCGATGACGGAAATTTTAGTTAAGAATAACGGATTAGGGACATAAACGTTATCGATTTCGTCTGTGAGACCTTCAATGGACTTCGTTATAACCGAGGTGTCGTTATAACCGAGGTCGTTATAACCGAGTTCGACTGTACTTCGATTTCACGTTAATGTGAATTTTAAAATGTCAGTAAGTTTTGGATATGAGAAAGACGACGAAAGCGTCCCGATTTGCCAGTTGACAAGGGTGTGTGACTGGCTCAGGCATATTGTGTGTGCTGAATCCTACCCATTGTGCTTCCTTTAATAATAAATTTCTGGTGGTATTACCTTTCCTCCGTGCAGAAAGATAATCCGGGGCGCGCATGCAGTGACCCAGCAGAATTCAACATTATTTAATATTCATTTCCGTCCATCTCTCCTTGACCAGTCACCATCTTGCGGCGAGTACAAACAAAGCAAAGCCTGCATTATGACCTATGGTATAACCATCATTTCGCTTACATTATTTGTACATAACTCTTAACACTCCTTGGATTTAGTAATTTTAGAGAAAACAATTCAGTATTTTATGATAAGAAATGGGCGTGAAATTAAACTGTCACACTCTAGAGCAGTGCTTCGCAACCGGTGTGCCGCAACATAGTCCCTAAAGGGCGGCGGTATTTTCATAATTATAGGAAAGAAAAAACATAATTGTGCTTTATTATTCAAAAGCTACGACCGACGAACGTCGGTCGAATAGACTAGAGGATGATGCAAATATTAATTGACATCGTGAAATTTGATTCGGTATGCTCCAAGGATCGAGCAAACTCGAAAGTGTGCCTTGAAATAAAAAAAAGCTTGGGAAGCGCTGCTCTAGAGAACCGGGCACTTGACAACATTTTTTTAAAATAAAATATAATTTTCTCGTAAATTAAGGGGAATAGGCTTTCCCTTGTCTATTTTTTTTATTTCTCGTGAAAATCATGCCTGGAGAAGCTGGTTACATTCGAGATGGAGTCGTTTCGAAAGATGCTCCGTTTTCTAAAAATTTATTCTCACTGAATTTGGCGAAGTTCCATTGAAATGACATACCCTCTCCTACTACGAGCACTGCCCTATGGGCATTTATTAAATGGATATAATTCATACTGAAGCTGAATTTTGTTTTCTCTATCTCATTTGATTTGATTTAGGGGAATCTGATGCCATCGAAGGAGGAGGTAATGACGGTCATGCGGAACTTGGTTGGGGTTCATAATTACATGGCACCCCCGCAGCAAACGTTGAGGATAATGATCCATCACCTAACCAAGAAATTTGAGGAACCAATGAAGATGTCTGTCGAAATTATCGCGGAGCACACCGGCAGAGCCATAGAGAAATACGCCTCTCAGGTCGCTAGATCAACAAAGAACCAGTCTATAAGTCAAGGAAAATCATGACAACGGAATTTATCCCATCATAAGTGTACATTTAAATATTGTAAACGACATTTGTTCTGAATAGGAAATCGGATCCTTCCCCAACTTGAAGCAAGAAGTGCTGATCCTGGTGATGGAGAAATTAAAACAGAATGAGCTGAGCTGCAAGGAACTCCTCGTGACGTACATCGAAGCGGAGCGGGCCTTCATGAACGATAAGCATCCTAATATGAAGCAGGATGATTCATATAGTTTCGTTCGGATCAGGTCTGCTGTCCTTTCTGACTCTGGCATTATCTGACTGAAGAATTTTTATTTTAAAAACGATGATCCATCGTTCGGTCTTCCTTGAATAATTGTCTTCATTTAGTGCATAAAGTTGATTTTCATTTTTTATTGGGAATGATCTAAGATACTTAGTGCTTCCATTCGGAATCTGATTGATTAGGTGAGAAATCATTCTCATCCTGGCTGGTATCCACACAGCCTTTGACATGATTTTGTGCCGGAAATGCTTCTATTATAATCATTTCATCTACTGTATCCTGCACTCTGACGAATTTTGGGCATTTTGGAAAAGTAAAGAAATATTCCCTTGAATCCTGTGGTGCTGTTTTGCTTTCCTAACAACAGATTATTCTATACAGTGGAACAGGAGAAGGAAAAGCTAATGGAGAAAAAATGAATCCGAGAAGTTCCCCGATACCTCCACCAAAGGTACCAAAGGTGAGACTATCAAAGTCCTTCCTTCGTCATTTTTGATATATATTCTGTAAGAGGAAATAAGTATCTCGGTACGTTGAAAGGGAACACAGAAGATCCACCAAGGCTTCCTGAGCCTCCCAGGTGAATCTGCCTTCAGGAGGAGGAGGAAACAGGCCTGGTTCACCCTCACACCTTCTCAACTCACCGCCTTCGAAGACGATCAGGTACATTTAAAATGGGGACTTTCCCTCCAACCCTCCTTTCTCGTCCCTATTCACGACCCAGTCTGTCCCTGTGAGCGCAGGAAGACAAGGAGCTGCTACGACTCAACAATGAAGAGATCCGAATTGTAGTGAGGAACGAAATGAGAAGGAGTCGCAAGTTCACCATCTCCAGCATCGATGGCAGGTGAGCAACTCCATCCCTGTTTCGCCACTGCTAATCGCGCATAATTTATTATGCTTTTTATATTTGAGTCACAGATCCCTGGGGAGGGGATACGCAAAGGAAATCGAAGTTACATACGATGGGAAGGACGGGAAAGAAGCTGGTGAACAATGGGAATCAAAGTTCCGAGAAGCAGGAATCCAGATCGAGAACTTGGGGAGTTCCGTCTCCCTTGTGAGTCAATACCTGTACTTGCGTTTTATTGGATGAAAATACATATCCAGAAAAATTGTTAGGAAATAAAAATTCAAGCTACACAAATTTCCCATCAGGTTTCTTACGTAATGGGTCAGGACGTTTATAATTCCCAAAGTTAATGATTGGGGATTTACTTTTATGGTTCTTGTCCGCTCTGGTCTCCAAGCAACTACTGCTGAACCAATTCCAAAGCGAAGTACTGTCGTTGGTCACGTTCCAAGGCTTCCTTCATATCTCTTTGAAGCATAAGTGCTCAAATTAGATCGACAGAACTGAAAAATACTCTCAGAGTAATTACACCAATATTAGCACCTTCGGACTTTCCTTAGCTTAAGGGTGAAGGATTTATGGGGTTTCAAGAACTAACGTATGGACTACAGAAAACACATTTATTGCATATTTACTTTCAATTGAAACGTATACGGTTAGCACTACGGCAAAATCATTTGTCAAGAGTCCCTTACACAAAGAGGGATTCGTCTAGCTGCGGAGAGAAGTGAATACGGGAATCTATCAAAGTTAAAGTAATTGCGGCTGCACCAAATTGTCTCGATATCGATAACATTCAAGAGCTCCTTTCATATGAGTACACCTTTCATATACGAGGCTTCTGCCATGGAAAATCTTTATTCATGTGAAGGGGACACATAATGGTGAAATCCCAAATTTTGCTTTCCTCACAAGATCTTTCTCCGCACCTACCATAGTAAGGAACCACTTGACCCTTTCTATTTGCGCATGAAGTTCTATGATGATCGGGCCGACAACGACAACACGCTTCAACGCAGGTCACTGATTCGACAGTGGTCGATGACTCGACCCAGAAAAGTCGTCTTTGAAAAGGTTAGTCAATTTTTTTTTATTTCTATGAAATGATGTACCTGATTTGGTGCTTATTTTTTCAAATAGAGTTGCACCCATATTCCTGTTAATTTAATTCCGACAGGATTTGAAGAAAGACGGCGATGACTTCATCGAAAAGATCCTCCGATACATGAGAATCGTGAGGGAGACCATCCGAGATCTCACGCCCAAGTACATCATCCTCAAGTTGATCAACATGGTCTGCATTTTCCCTACGGAGAGGTATTTTCTGTATAAACTGGAATGGTGCACAAATGAAGGGATGCCTTTCGTTTCTTTTAGCTGGTAAAATACATAGAGGAGGAGCTCGTGGCTGAAATCCAAGAAAGGAATGACATCGTGAGTTCGAATAGGAGATTGAATTAATGAAGCTTAAACTTAATTAGCACAATTTATTCTCGTTTAAAATGGCAGGACAAGCTGATGGAGCCAGGAGGAGACGAGGAGATGAAGAAGAAGCACCTCTTGAGTCTGTACGAGGCGACGCAGGAGGCCGTGAAGATCATCAACAGTTTTACCCTCTCCAATGCTCCTTCCTCCGCCTCCGCTTGACTTCCTTTAGTTTTCATCGTTTTTCTGCTCGGATTGTCATCAATCTGACTTTGTATGAAAAAAATGTATATCCGAAGGTATGCTGAAGATATCTGCCTTACATCCATACTCATATGGAAGGCAGACATCTGGCTTGGGATATCCGCATCAACTGCACCTTGTACTGTATTAGTTCAGCTCTCGTGCACCTCGTTGAAATCGCTTTCGCCTGCCATGACATGCCATGGGGTCTCAGCCAGAAATTTATTGGTAAAGTGATTGCAACATTTGGTATGTTTATGAGTGGGTCTTGACTGCTGGTAAAACATGGTAGATGTGATGATAGGCATGGCGGAAGCAATCCTGCGGCAAAAATGGTCTCAACCAAAAATAATGCCACACTTGAATATTTTCGGGTTGCTTTCTTGCAAGTTGGTGTCCTTTGCTGCTAATTGGATGAATCATGTAAAATAAAAACATGAAGCCTGCTTTAAAAAAATTTCAAATTCCCCAAAAACCGCGGCGAAGTCAATCGCGCAGCTCGGAAGAGTGGGCCTCATTCAGGAAATAAGTCCTCCGAGAGTTCAGTGCATTGAAAATATGAGTCGTAAGCCTCCCAGCACTGCAGAGTCGGAGAATTGAAGAAAATTGCCTCAAGCCCACTGACATTTGTTGAAGGGAGGCTATCCTCTTTTGGAATAACAGGAATCACTTATTTGCGTTTCTTCGTGAGCTAAACTTTGTAATTATGCTTTATATTTTGCTCTTAAAGTCATTGCGGCAAGCCAACGGCTCCAAACTTTTTCGAGAAAGTCATCCGTATTTTCCTGGTTGAATGCTCCGGAACCCATGCGAGAGAAATGTCGGATCCAAAATGTTTGTGAAGGGCTCCTATGAGAGTCTAAGAAAAGGGAAGTGGGGTGTGTACGGAGCGGAAACTAAACTGTCTGGGAAAGGATACACACCAGGGACGTTCAGAAAGTTCTGGGAATTTCGTCAGTGTACAAAAAGGAAATCGAGCTTAACATATTCTGATCAGAGGTTTTGGATAAAGGCTTACCTTGTTTATTATTGAATTCACTATTGTTGCCTGAATAATCTGCTGAGCAGAGTTATTCACCTCAGATCCGTTGTATTTTTCGAAGCCATGGAAGACACGGTGAAAGCTCAGCAAGCGATTATTTTTTTATTTGTCAAGAGAAGGTGCACGCGGTTCAGAGATTGTTCAGAGGCTGCAGGTTGTCTTTAGAGAATATGCAGAATCGAAGAGTGCCGTTTACCGATGGCTAGAGCGGTTTAAGAATGGTCGCCAGACCTTAGACGACGACCCTCGCAGCGGTCGCCTTCGAACGGCTGCCACCGATGAAAAAATTCCCGCTGCGAAAAATATTCTCACGAAAGATCGACGAATTACCTTTCAGGAACTTGCTACTGCACTGGGTATCGGCATCGGCAAGGCCCACGAGATTCTCCCTGAACATCTCGGTATGACGAAGGTTTCTGCCAGATGGGATGCCTCGCCTTTCGGGCCTGAACAAAAGGTCGATCGAATGGAAACGTGCCGAGAGCTGCTTCAACTTGGCTAAGAACACGAGGAGAGTTTCTTCGACCGTATTATCACCGTAGATGAGACGTGGCTTTCCTACTTCGATCCCGAGACCAAATCACAACCTAAGGAGTGGCGCCGATCTGAAAAAGGACTTCCTTTGAAGGCTCGAACTGTTCCCTCTATGAATCTATAGGAAAGGTTATGATTACGGTTTTCTGGGATTGCAAAGGGATAATAACGATCGACTACCTACCAAAAGGTACCACAATGAATAAAAAATATCAATACTATTCTAATCAGCTTTTGGGCCCTCTCCGACAGGCTCTTATAGGAAAACGGATGGGAAGTTGCATTCACGGCCACTTATTCAGCAGGACAATGCAAGGCCCCACACTGATGATGAAGGCTCTGTCGCACCAACACGTGTTGAATAAGTGTGGGATTTTCATTAGAACGCTGAAACTAACGAAGAAAGAACAAAAAGTTATGCACGAAATGCTCTAATTAGACTTATTTCAGTCCGTGCGAGCAGGGGCTTTTACACGAGTATCTCTATAGTAGTATATTTCGCTATAACAGGAGAATGAGAATGAAGCCAAGGAGAATGAATCAATTTCTGATTGGAAAGTGGGATGCCCATGAAGGCACCGGACCAGAGGTGCCCCAGGTAGCCAACCATGACTGGGCCAAGTAAGGCATATGCATGGCAAAATAACATGGGCCCAATGTGGCAGCCAGACATGGGCCATACGAGAAATGTCACAATGGTCGAGCCTCGCCCATATCCCTAAATCAAAGTTCCGAGAAGCAGGAATCCAGATCGAGAACTTGGGGAGTTCCGTCTCCCTTGTGAGTCAATACCTGTACTTGCGTTTTATTGGATGAAAATACATATCCAGAAAAATTGTTAGGAAATATAAATTCAAGCTACACAAATTTCCCATCAGGTTTCTTACGTAATGGGTCAGGACGTTTATAATTCGCAAAGTTAATGGTTGGGGATTTACTTTTATGGTTCTTGTCCGCTCTGGTCTCCAAGCAACTACTGTTGAACCAATTCCAAAGCGAAGTACTGTCGTTGGTCACGTTCCAAGGCTTCCTTCATCTCTCTTTGAAGCATAAGTGCTCAAATTAGATCGACAGAACTGAAAAATACTCTCAGAGTAATTACACCAATATTAGCACCTTCGGACTTTCCTTAGCTTCAGGGTGAAGGATTTATGGGGTTTCAAGAACTAACGTATGGACTACAGAAAATACATTTATTGCATATTTACTTCCAATAGAAACGTATACGGTTAGCACTACGGCAAAATCATTTGTCAAGAATCCCTTACACAAAGAGGGATTCGTCTAGCTGCGGAGAGAAGTGAATACGGGAATCTATAAAAGTTAAAGTAATTGCGGCTGCACCAAATTGTCTCGATATCGCTAACATTCAAGAGCTCCTTTCATATGAGTACACCTTTCATATACGAGGCTTCTGCCATGGAAAATCTTTATTCATGTGAAGGGGACACATAATGGTGAAATCCCAAATTTTGCTTTCCTCACAAGATCTTTCTCCGCACCTACCATAGTAAGGAACCACTTGACCCTTTCTATTTGCGCATGAAGTTCTATGATGATCGGGCCGACAACGACAACACGCTTCAACGCAGGTCACTGATTCGACAGTGGTCGATGACT